TCCCAGGCCCGGTGAGACCCTGAGTCTACTCACTCATCTGGCAGTGAAGGGTGAAGCCTGGCTCTGCAGGGGGCTTGCCCAGGGCCAGTCTGAGCCTGAACCCTTCTGAAATCTGTGGCTCCTACCTCTGTGGTAGCCTGGCTCTCTGAGCTCTCCTCCTGCTCTCTGTCCTGAAGGTTCCAGGGCCCTGTGCTGCTGATCCGAAGAACCAAGGATGAGATCATCACCACCACGTGAGGGCTGCCCCTCTCCTCCCCTTCTCTGCCCTCCCCACCTGTGCCCTCCCGCCATGTACCCAGCTCCCCTAACCAGGGTAATTCCTGCCCCAGGGTCCCTGAAGACATCATGTCCAACAGAGGCAATGACCTCCTGCTCAAGCTCCTGCAGTTCCGGTGAGAGCCGGGGGTGGACACAGCTCCGTGCTGGCAGCAGCACTGGGGAGGAGTGAGGTGAGGGCTGAGGAGTGACGATTGGTTCCTCCTGTCCGATTGGTTCCTCCTGTCCGTCCCATGCTGCTCCCAAGGTATCCTCGCGTGATGGTGGAGGAGGGGCTCAGAGCCGTGAGGCAGTGGCTGGAGGCCTCCTCCCAGCTAGAGGGGCCAGCCTCAGTTTACAGTCGATGGGAGGTGGAGGAGGACTGGTGTCTGTCTGTGCTTCGCTCCTACCAGGCGGAACATGGGCCCGATTTCCCCTGGAGTGTGGGTAAGGAGGGCCTCGGCCTGGTGGGGTGTGAGAGTCCAGCCGGATCCCAGACAGTGCATTTGAGGCCTTCTCTCCTCCGCAGGGGAGGACATGAGTGCGGATGGACGGAGGCAGCTGGCGCTGTTTCTGGTGAGCTCGGGACTGGGGTCAGGGGAAGGGACATGGAGGGGCACATACGGGACTCGGGCGCGGGGTCCCGCGGGGGGGCGGGTTCAGGGGGGGGGGTGCCACAACCACCGTGGAGGGGACACATACAGGACTCGGGATCCCGCGTGGAGGGGACCCATACGGGACTTGGGCGCGGGGTCCCGCGTGGAGGGGACACATACGGGACTCGGGGTCCCGCGTGGAGGGGACACATACGGGACTCGGGGTCCCGTGTGGAGGGGACACATACGGGACTCGGTATCCCGCGTGGAGGGGACACATACGGGACTCGGGCGCGGGGTCCCGTGTGGAGGGGACACATACGGGACTCGGGCGCGGGGTCCCGCGTGGAGGGGACACATACGGGACTCGGGGTCCCGTGTGGAGGGGACACATACGGGACTCGGGGTCCCGTGTGGAGGGGACACATACGGGACTCGGGGTCCCGTGTGGAGGGGACACATACGGGACTCGGGCGCGGGGTCCCGCGTGGCGGCGGGTTCAGGGAGGGAGGTGCGGCACCCACCTGCTCTGCCTTCTCTCCAGGCCCGGAAGCATCTGCACAACTTTGACGCCACACACTGCACCCCACTCCCAGCCGAGCATTTCCAGATGCCCTGGCACCTCTAGGGACCGCACTTGGACTCTTGTGGAAGGCAGGACGGGAGGGGGACACTTGTGGTCCTCTCTGTTCGTGTTCTCTTTGTAGTCTGGGCAGCGGGGATGCTCCCCTCTGACCACGGTCCTCTTGCACGTTTCCCCTCATCCACGTGGAAGCACTTAGCTCTCCCCATATACATCCTGCATTAAATGAATGATTTATTCCTAATAATTAATAAAAATGTATTTTTTCTACTATCTGTCTGATTGTGAGATTTTTCCAGACATTCAGGAAAGTAGTGGCTGGGGCAGGAGGAGCAGAAGCCCCAGAGGGTGAGGCTTTGGGAAACCCCAGCTTAACTCTCTGTGCCTCACTCATCATGAGCTGGATCTCCAACCAATGCATACCCTTTCTGTGCGGTGCCCAGTGTACACAGAGAGTGCCCTGGCTCTCACGGCTTCCCCAGGCCTTGCCACTGCCTGGGAGGTGGATGGGATGCCCTGGTTTACAACTGCACTTCAATGCAGTTTTACCTCCTTAGCTTCTCTCCTGAAGGTACCTGTGCCCCCCACAGGTACCTGCACCCCCCCTCCCTTGCACAGCTCTTATTTCCACAAGGAACAGGGAGTGGCTCCCACAGCCTGTCCTCGGCTCGTCACCAAGTCTGTCTGCACACCCTGTTTACAGTGGGGAGTGAGAGCCAGGTGCCCAGCACTGCCATCGTCCCCAGGCTGAACCTGAGGATACTAGATCGTCACAGCTTGTACTCAGTCTTTGGACCTGTGGGGTGGAATGGTGCCCTGCATGGCCTCCTTTCCTTGAAAACTCCTCTCCAGGTGAAGGAACCCCAGCTCCACCCCTTGGGGCCCACTGTTTTGAACAAGATGCTTAACAAGGACGTCAGCATTTTGTGCTGGTCACAGTCTCAGGCTGATTCTGGGTGGCCTCCGATCCCAGGGCACCAGCCTCTGACCTTGGGCATCTAACACAGGAGGGCTGAGATTGACAGGCGACGGGACTGTGACTGAGGTTTGGGGCCAGAAGAGGGGAGGTGGCCCTGACCTCGAATGCTCTGCCTTCAGCAAACAGCAGGTGGAGAGAGCTGGCACTGATACCCTCTCTGCCCCAGCCCAGGAGGTATACGGGCTGGAAAGTGTAGCTACTCTGGGCAGGGCATAGTGGCACACACCATAGTCCCTGCACTCGGCAGACAGAAGCATGCAGATCTCTGTGAATTCAAGGCCAGCCTGATCTACATAGCAAGTTCTAGGTCAGTCATGGCTACATAGTGAGAGCCTGTCTTTAAAAACAAAACAAATCCAGTTTGCTCATGAACCTTACCCTGCCATTCCAAGCTAAATTCCTGTAACTAAATCCATTCAGCCAAGGGACCCTGTAGCCCTATCTCCCCTACCTTGGGACACAAGAGCACCCTTCTTAGTCAGCCATCACCAGGGACCGCCACCGCTACCTTCCAGAACTTACACTACAGATCGGAGGAGCCCTTAGGTATCTGAAGCAGAGTGGGAATGGGGCGCATACCATATGACTCACCCAGGGGCTGTAGTTCACTTCGGAGCACTCTCCACATCCCATAATCTCAGGGTGGCGACCGGCTCACTGTCCATCTCTCATCCTGTATACCAAGGCTCCAGCAAGTGTAGGCAGTCAGCTTCGATGCCCCACCCCACAGCTTTAGGGGTTCTGGTTCTGCCAACACCCAGGCACCTGGAGAGGTAGGCCAAGAGAGAGACAAGACGGATATGTGAAAGAAAACCTGAGGACAGTGGGTGGGTCCCTGAACAGGCCACATCTTACCTTACCTTACTCTCATGGGCCAGGATATCGGCCTGCACTGTTCCCAGGGCAGGTTGAAGATTTGCTCCATGCCCCCGCAAGGGGCTTATGCTTCCTCCAAAGCTGTCAAAAAGGAGCAATGTTTCTGGGGGTGAAGGGACCTTGAGGGTGGAGGCCCAGCCATTGCGAAAAGCTGGGTCTCCATTTGTCTGTCTGTCTGTTTATCCGTCCGTCCCTACTTCCTTATGAACCTAGTCACTCATTAACATTCAACTGAAAGCTCAGTTTCTCTGATGACTTCCTCAACAGAAGCTGGCTCTCCAAGCCCATCGTACGAGGCCCCTTGTGTATGTGGACCCTGTCTGTCTGTCCTCAGACCCTGCCCATTTTGTCACTTGGCTGTTTATCTTCTGGCATCCCTTGTCACAAGGGAGAGCACTCAGCATGGACATGGTCATCTGCCACTGTCACCATGACGACTACTGCAAAGTCCTTTTTACCTTAGGAAACCTGGAGGGAAGCTGTTGTCATAGAAACGAACTTTCTGGGCCCTGGACCCTCACTAGCCACCTCCAACAGCTGACAGAAAAGAAACAAGGGGCGGGGAAGCTGGAGAGGTGCCCTGTGCTTCCAGACCACCCAGAGGGAGACTCCCAGCACCACATGGTGGCTCACAACTGTCTCTAACTCCATGCCCTCTCCTGACTTTCACGGGCATCGCTCACATGGTACACAGACACACTTGCAGGCAAAACATCCATACTCATAAACTTTTGAGACAAGGTTTTTCTGTAGCTTTGGAGCCTGTCCTGGAACTCGCTCTGTAAACCAGAGTTCTGCCTGCCTCTGCCTCCCGAGTGCTGGGACTAAAGGTGTGCGCCACCACTATAGACTGATTATTATATTATTATTATTATTATTATTACACTACTACTAAAAAGAAGCAAGAGCAGTGCTGAAGTGATGGCTCAGAGGTTAAGAACACTGGCTGCTCTTCCTGAGTTCAATTCCCAGCACCCACATGGTGGCTCACAGCCATCTGTAATGAGATCTGGTGCCCTCTTCTGGCCTGCAGGGGTACATGCAGGCAGAATACTGTGTACACACTAAATAAATAAATAAACCTTACAAAAAGAAGAGGAAGAAGAGGAAAAGGAAGCAGCAGCAAGGCTCTCTGTCCCCTGACTCCTCCCGAGAGCTGCACTCACCCCTGCTTGTCTCAAAGCTCTGACCTCCAGAGTGACTCCTTTCTCCTCTGTGGCTTCATCCTGGAGCAGGGAGGGCACAGTTGGTTGGGTCAGAGCACGCCCTATGCTCTTCAAGGATTCCTCTGAGGCTGCAGAGCTGGCTGAGCGGTTAAGAACACAGGCTGGGGCTGGAGAGATGGTTCAGAGGTTAAGCGCACTGACTGTTCTTCCAGAGGACCTGAGTTCAATTCCCAGCAACCACATGGTGACTCACAACCATCTATTATGAGATCTGGTGCCCTCTTCTGGTGTGCAGATATACATGGAAGCAGAATGTTGTATACATAATAAATAAATAAAATCTTTAAAAAATAAAAGAGCACAGGCTGTTCTTCCAGAGGACCCAGATTCAATTCCCAGCACCCACATGGTGGCTTGCAACCATCTATAGTGGGATCTGATCCGTCTTCTGGCATAAAGTTGATAGAGCACACCCATATATTCAATAAATCTTTTAAGGGCTCCTCTGACTTCTGTCCCTATTGCTCATCATTCAACAGACATTTGTGTCTTGTATCGGCTGGTTCCAGGACCTCCCTCAATCCCCCATCAACATAAGTTTTTTGGGGCCCTCAGAAGCGAATTTCTTCCTACCCGGTCCAACTCTCAGAGCTTTGGTTTCTCCTTCAGCCCTGAAATGTGATAGTTTTTGGAAAGTTCTGACAGTAGAGAGGAGGGCCTGGACCTTGGGGTTCCAGCCTCAAACTTCCAGACAGACAGTACAGTAAAGAAGGTTGTGTCTCCCATGGTGCAATGTGGCTTAAAGTGAAAAAAAATTCAAGCCTGCAACCTACCTGGGGAGAAGGTAAGAAGCAAGCGGACCAGGGGTGGGTTCCCAGAGCCTGAGAGGGGACTCATTTCAGAGCGCCACCGTCTGCGGATGCGGCACCAAGCAGAGAGCCTGGCAAGTCACCTACAGAGCTGTGCCACCTGCACAGGGCCAACAATGCATCCTTCCTGGAGCCAATGAGCTGTCAGCCAGGGAGCGGGGACTCGGAGCATCGAGCCTGTGGACTCTCTGATCCTTAGCAGAGCTGGGCGGGGCAGAAAGGAAGGTGGTCTCTTTGTGCAAGCCTGCCCCGCTCTTTTGACCCCACGGACTGTCCTGTCTTCCCATCCATTTTTTCCTCTGAACCCACTCTAACGCTCGGCAAGCTGGTGCTGTCATCCCAGTGTAAGGAGACCGGGGCAGGAGGACCAGTTCCAGGGCAGCCTGGTGTACTCGGGCCAGACAGAGCTACAGAGGGAGAACTTGTCTGAAAACTTTCTAAACAATCACCTCCATTCATTCGCTACATCTGTGTCCTCACTGCTTTTCCAAAACCCTATGTCGCCATCTTCTGACTGAACTCAGGATTGCCCTCTGTCCTGGCTTCGATACTATTGGGGATTGAATGTATGCTAGGCCGGCCTCACAGCTAGCATTCTTCCTCCATTTGTTCCTTCCTTCCTTCACTATCTGTCTATCATCTATCATTATCAGCCATCTACCATCTAACTACAGGACTGTGTAGTCCTGGCTGGCCTGGAACTCGCTATGTAGACTCGGCTGGCCTCAGACTCACAGTGACGTCAGTGTTAAATGTGTGCCCCCCCACCACAGCCAGCTTATTTTACTCTCTGAACTCACTCTAGCTCAGTCAAGTCTTGAATTGTGGTCCTGAGTGTCTGGGTAGCCTATGTCACCCGGCTCAGACCTCCATTCTTAACCCCTTGATTCTCCACTGTGCAGAAATGGCAGCACTTTACAAAACAGCTGCCCTGCAGAGATGCCTCTGCTCACACCGCCCCTGCAGAGATCCCTGTGGTCTTCGGCTTGGCTTCAGCTGCCCTGGTGCCCTGCTGTGCTCTCCTCCTCCTCCTCACTTCCTGCCTTGTCTCCCCCACTAGACTTCCTCCAGGGAGAGCTGGGACTCCACAGTTTTATCTCCAACACCTAAAGCAATGACCCAAAGGGTCAGCACACTGGTTTAATTGTCACCTTGACAAATCTAGAATCACCTGGAACAGTGTCTCAGCGGGGAGTTACCTTGATTACATTAACTACACTTAGGCTGCTCATTTCCCCAGGAGGAATGGAAAGGCCAGGCTGGAGAGATGGCTCCCGAGTTAAGAATGCTCAGTCAGCCTGAGGATGGGAACAAACTCCAGCTCCAACAAGTGTGGCACCTTCCCACTCTGCCCCTCTTGGCCACTCACATACACATGTATGTGCAGAGATAGACAGACAGACAGACAGACAGACAGACACACACACACACACACACACACACACACATCTTGGGCAGTGGGGGTGTGTGTGAAGTGAGGCACACATGCAGGAATTCACTGTTCTCTGCTCTTGACTGTGGTTGCAATATGGCCAGGGTCTCTGAAGTTCTTGTCCCTGTGACTTCCCTTCTGTGATGGACTGTGACCTGGGATAATGAGCTAAAATAAACATTTTGCCAGGCATGGTGGCACACACCTTGATCCCTGCATTTGGGATTAAGAGCTCTGTAAGTGTGGTGCCTGCCTGGTCTACAGAGATTTCCAGGACAACCAGAGTTACATAGACCCTGTCTTAATAAATAAAATAAATGCTTCTCCTGAGTTGCTTTTGTTGGGGTATTTTGTCAGAGCATCAGGAAAGGAAAGAAACTCCTTCCCTGAGACAGGATATGAGGGCCCAGAATGGCTGTGGGTGGTGAACATTCTGAACTGGTTATTCTGGCGCTGATTTCCACGTCAGAGTGTTGCCTGTCTCCCTCCTCTTGGCCAGCCTCTCCCCCACCAATATAAGCCCAGACCTCATTTGAGGCCCCTGGGACTCCATAGTGTCACCCAAGCCCTGTGTGCTGTTAGCTCACTAGTGCTGGTCCTGGTGAGCTTGGTTCTTGGTAAGCACCTCCAAAGCAGGGGTTCTCAGCCTTCTAATGCTGCGACCCTTTCCAACAGTTCCTCGTGCTGTGGTGACCCCCAGTCATAAAATCATTTTTTGTTGCCACTTCCTAACTGTATATTTGATAACTCTTAATAATCATAATGTAAGTATCTGGTATGCGGGATGTCTGAACAAAGGGGTTGTGAACCACAGGTTGAGAACCTCTGTAAGGGTTAGCTGGGTTGCCAGGCCAGGTGGCAGGAGAAACTGGTTTCTCCCAGGGTCTGGGCACGCCTGTCCAGGATGCACAGGTGACGTCAGTGGCAGGGCAGGTGACACCCTGGGCAGGTGTGTGGAACTGTGCAGGGATAGCTGGTCACCCCAAAGGACAGTCCTGGGGACAGCTCACTGTGGTGTCAGCAAGCTTTCAGGAGACACTGAAGGACATTCTGCAGTTTCAAGGGCAACACAGAATGGGGAGGACTGGGGGCCACGCAGGTGAGAGAGCACAGAATGGGGAGGACGGGGGGCCACGCAGGTGAGGGAGGGCAGAATGGGGAGGACTGGGGTCACGCAGGTGAGAGAGCACAGAATGGGGAGGACGGGGGGCCACGCAGGTGAGGGAGGGCAGAATGGGGAGGACTGGGGTCACGCAGGTGAGAGAGCACAGAATGGGGAGGACGGGGGGCCACGCAGGTGAGGGAGGGCAGAATGGGGAGGACTGGGGTCACGCAGGTGAGAGAGCACAGAATGGGGAGGACGGGGGGCCACGCAGGTGAGGGAGGGCAGAATGGGGAGGACTGGGGTCACGCAGGTGAGAGAGCACAGAATGGGGAGGACGGGGGGCCACGCAGGTGAGGGAGGGCAGAATGGGGAGGACTGGGGTCACGCAGGTGAGAGAGCACAGAATGGGGAGGACGGGGGGCCACGCAGGTGAGGGAGGGCAGAATGGGGAGGACTGGGGTCACGCAGGTGAGAGAGCACAGAATGGGGAGGACGGGGGGCCACGCAGGTGAGGGAGGGCAGAATGGGGAGGACTGGGGTCACGCAGGTGAGAGAGCACAGAATGGGGAGGACGGGGGGCCACGCAGGTGAGGGAGGGCAGAATGGGGAGGACTGGGGTCACGCAGGTGAGAGAGCACAGAATGGGGAGGACGGGGGGCCACGCAGGTGAGGGAGGGCAGAATGGGGAGGACTGGGGTCACGCAGGTGAGAGAGCACAGAATGGGGAGGACGGGGGGCCACGCAGGTGAGGGAGGGCAGAATGGGGAGGACTGGGGTCACGCAGGTGAGAGAGCACAGAATGGGGAGGACGGGGGGCCACGCAGGTGAGGGAGGGCAGAATGGGGAGGACTGGGGTCACGCAGATGAGAGCACAGAATGGGGAGGACTGGGGTCACGCAGATGAGAGAGCACAGAATGGGGAGGACTAGGGCCACGCAGGTGAGAGAGCACAGAATGGGGAGGACTGGGTCACGCAGATGAGAGCACAGAATGGGGAGGACTGGGGGCCACGCAGGTGAGAGAGCACAGAATGGGGAGGACTGGGGGCCACGCAGGTGAGAGAGCACAGAATGGGGAGGACTGGGGCCACGCAGATGTGAGGGGCAGAAGAATCTGTAAGGCAGAATGGCGTGGAATTCAGTGCTAACCTCACCTGGTGGCCAAGCCTCTGCACCACACACACTAAGCCATCTTCTTGTCCTAAGCTCTTAGCATGTGGTGTGGGCCAAGGACCAGGGGAAGGGGCGACTTCATATGTGTGTAGGCTTTGGTAGCTAACCTTTAACATGAGCCCCTCCCAGGGATGGGGCCAGAGTATGGCATGTAGCATGGGGCTGTTTGAGTTCCCCGTCTACGGGCCGCAGACTCCCCCTCTCCTCCGATAGACTCCTGTCTTCATCTCTGAACATTACATCAGAACGAATGTTCAAGCTGCATGTGGTGGCTGACGCCTTTAGTCCCAGCACTCAGGAGGCAGAGGTAGGAGCAGAGGCAGAGGCAGAACTCTGTGAGTTCAAAGCCAGCCTGGTCTACAAAGTGAGTTTCAGGACAGCCAGGGCTACACAAAGAAACTCTCTCAGAAAACGAAATTAGAAAACAGGAGGGGAAGGAGGAGGAGGAAAAAGCGTGTTCACTGGTGACAACTCCAGCACTCAGGGTCTTGAGGCAAGGAGCAGAAGACCGCCAAGGCTGATAGTGAGACATAGTGTGGTCCCAGAACAATGGGGTGAGATACTGAACGCTAAGTCATAGCGGAAGTGTTGTTCTAACAAGGCAGGGATGGGCAGCCTCCACTTCACCTGTAAATGTAAATCAGGCTTACGGAGTGCCGAGGACAGGTTAGCCCTTTAAATACATGCTAAGTGGATGCGTCCTTCCTTCCTTCCTTCCTTCCTTTTTTCTAAAGATTTTTTTTATTTATTTACTATGTATACAACATTCTGCTTCCATGTCTATCTGCACACCAGAAGAGGACACCAGATCTCACTATAGATGTTTGTGAGCCACCATGTGGTTGCTGGGAATTGAACTCAGGACCTCTGGAAGAGCAGTCGGTGCTCTTAACCTCTGAGCCATCTCTCCAGCCCTCTGGATGCATTTCTTTGTGTGTGTGTGGTAACATAGAAAGAGGTCTGGGAATTGCTGTTGTTTTGTTAACTTTTTTGAGATAGGCTCTCACTATGTAGCCCCGGCTGTGGCCTGCTATTATGTAGACCCGGCTGGTCTCAAACTGAGAGATCTTCAGCCCCCGAGTACAGAATTAAAGGAGAGTTACCACCAAACCTGGCAAGAGTGAAGGCTTTCAGTGAGGTCCGTTAAAGCATATGGCTCTCAAGAATCCGAGGTCTTGTGGTTGCAGAGCAGGAACAGTGGGGTTAACACAGCATGGGGGCAGGTGGGACTCTGACTCACAGCATCTCTGTTCTAGGCAAAAACATCCTGCTGAGGGCCCCATCAGCCACCTCCATTCACCAAGTACCTGCATTGCTACTTTTGTCTCCTGGAGACCCAAGAGTTGGGTGTCTTCTGGGTTTGGATGTCTGCCTCTGGGCAGCAGCTGCATCATCCTGCACATAAAGAACGGTTAAGCAGACCTCCCCTCCACCACAGGCCAGCTCCGCCATGGATCCCTCCTCCCACCCATGGGCAGGCCCCACAAGCCTCTTCCCAGTCTCCCACGCTGCACACGGTGTCTTGTTCCCACAGCCCTAAGACATTCCAGGACTTTGTCAGAGCCTCCACCTGTCTCCCCTCTCGTCCTCCTCAGCCCACAGCCAACTGCCTCCCACTTTTGTGCAGTGCCCAGGCTTGAAGGGCCCTGGGCTCTCCCCTCAGGCACTGGCCTTCCCTCAGAGGCTGGCGTTACTGCTGGCAGAGGCTCTTGGAGAACGCCCACTGCTCTTCGCCCAGTCTTCCTGACCCTTAAGGGCTCATGTTCCAGAGGTTTGGCTGGTCCTCTGCGCTCACATCACAGACGAGCCTACCTGCTGGACTGGCTTTCACCAGGCCTCAGACTTCTTCCTGGGTCTGAACAGTTCACCAAAATGCTTTCCTCATGTGCAGTGTCTCTACCTCACTGCCTGCCTGGAGGACTGAGTGTATTCCTTCCTCTTCTTCCACCCAGTCCCCTACCCCTATTAAATGAACAGATACTGGATGCGGACTGTATGGATGCGCTGTCTAAGTATAGCAGGGCCGATACAGTCTCTGAAGTGCCCATTACTGCCCCCATTTAACAGAAAAAGACAGGTGCAGAAAGAGCCAGAGGCTTGCGTGAATCTCACAGGCGGAGTCAAATAGTGATGGCTCCAGAAATGGTTCTCTTTTACTTTTTTTTCCCTTTAAGATTTATTTATTATGCATACAGTGTTCTATCCGCATGTATGCCTGCAGGCCAGAAGAGGGCACCAGATCTCACTACAGATGGCTATGAACCACCATGTGGTTGCTGGGAATTAAACTCAGGACCTCTGGTGGAGCAGCCAGTGCTCTTAACCTCTGAGCCATCTCTCCAGCCCCCCACTTTTCTATTTTAGATCCATCATTACACTGTGTAGCCCAGACTAACCTTGAACTTGTGACCCTCTTGTGTTGGATTACAGGAGTGTACCAGAAAGCCTGGCCAGGACAATGCTGTTAATTCTCCACAGGATAAGCTGTCTTCATTCATGACCTTTTGTTACATGGTTTCCTTCTTCTGCAGTCCTTGTGGGTAGAAGCCAGGCTGGGCAAGCACTGTACAGCACAGGCCGGCCTCAGCCTCTTAGTGTTGGGATTTCAGGTGTGAGCCGTCAGGTGGCTTGTGTACACTTTACCTGGCATTGTGAGACAGGGTCTCAGTAGCCCACACTCCCTAGGGCTTCAGCCAAGGCAGTATGCACTCTTGGCCACCGTGCCACCTCCCCAGTCTCTCTCTCATCTGTGTTGCTAGGAACTGAATCCCGGACTTGTGCCTGGGTCCTACCACACATCACTGTCCTACCCTCTTCTGCTGTGGAAACCATTCCTCTTCTGCAGCCCAACCTTCAGTACACCCCGGTATCTTTCTCAGAACGGTCCTATGATGCTGGACTCCTCATCCTTCTCAAGCTCTGACTCTGGACTCTACTCCCCAACCAACAGTACAATTTCAAATCCTTCAAACTCCCCACAAACACCTTTAAAGTTTCCTCGCTGATGGCTCACTGGGCGCTCCCACACCCATCCAGTTCTCAGTGGCTTTCTTTTGGTTCAAGGACAGGTAATTAAGGGAGATAATAGGTGGACTGTGTGGACTGAGGATGCACTGGGGGCTCTGTACCTGTGGCCCTTCTCTAGGCACCCGTTCATGGTAACTGCCGCAGCCGGGAGCAGGTGAAGGCCTGTTCACACGCCCCTGCCTTCCCAGCGTTTGGCTTTTGGATAGTCTACCAACACTGCTTCTGAGATTTCTGCAACAATCCAACAAACAGGAGGAAAAAAGTACGTACTAGGACACCAGGAACTGTTGTGTTCAGCCACTCTCCGGATTCAAATATGGACCCAGGCAGGTCAACTCCAAAGCTCTCTCAGCGGCCATCTTGGCCTCTCCTCATCCACACCCCACTCTGCCACCTTCTTTCCCCAGCTCCTTCTCTCAGTCAGCCAAAGTTCCTAGGTGTTCCTGCTATGATAAAGCTTGAAGGGAAGCCTGCGTGGGGGACCTTGGCAGATTCCATGTCGGGTGAGGGTGTCGGAGGCAGAGGGACAAACACGCCAGGCAGACAGAGCTTAAGTGAGAAGTTTCATTAGAAGGGGGGGAGGGGGAAGGAAAGAGAAAAGAGGTAAAGAGACAGGGAGAGAGAGAGAGAGAGACGACAGAAGAGAAGAGGGGTCAGGAAAAGTCCTGTCTGCCCCAGGGGAACTGTGGGGGAAAGAGAAGAGCTGGGAAGAGAGCATAATCGGGCAGGGTCTGTCTTGTAAAGGGTCCTTTGCACCCGCGTGCAGACTAGTACTCACGGAACCCTGGGCTGACCAGGGCACTGCCTGGTGCATTCTGCCAGGTGATGGGGCAGGCTGGCTTAATGTCTGAATCTTTACAGTTCCCCCCAAATAAACAATCTGCAAAGTGTTTAGTTTGCCTCTTCTAATGTGGGGAAGGCCTTGGAAACTGGGTCAGACTGCTCCATCAAGGGGCTGAGCTCCTCTCCTACCCTGCCTTGACATCTGTTACTGAACTCCAGAGATACAAAGCTGAAGAGGAACCCGACACACTTAGATGGTGAAGGTGGGGTCGGTTAAGTTAGTAGGCGGTGCTGTCAGATCAGAGCTCCCTCCTCCGTGGGGGACAGCCAAGAGGTCCAGAGGCCACATCGGCAGGATACAGGACATGAGCAATGAGGTAGACCAAGGGGAACTAGGAAGGAGACAGTGGCGCTCGAGGGAACAAGGAACCTTGCTTTCCACTCCCTGGTTTAGTGTCTCTTCCTAACCCTGTCTGTCTCCCAGTCTGACCAGGAAGAGCAGTGTAAATCTGGGGAGGAGGTTGTGGATTTTTTTCCTTAGGGGGTATGTGTGTGTTTGTTGTATACCCCTTACTGGCCTCCAACTCCAGATTCTCCTAATGTGTCCATCTGTTCTGTCTGTTCAACAGGTGTGTACCATCACCTGAGTCAGGTGTGCTCAGGAAGGGACATGAAGGCCGCATCCACCGGGTGCTGGCAAGGTTACAGAGCAGGCGGCTCGCATGGCGGCTCTCAGTACACAAAGGCTGAGGCAGCATGGCCTTGTGATCGAGGCCAGCCTGATCACAAAAGCCAAAACAGAGCGCAAGTCCCTATGTACATTTGTCCATGAGCACGCACACCTGTGCATCCATCGCCTCTCTCCTGAGGCGTCCCACCTCCACACGCTACAGAACCGACTCTCCCGGGCAGCACACCTGGGGCCACAGCGCTCTAGCACTTAAGTGCAAGGCTGCGAGCCTGACTATGCCCACCCGAGACAGTGCTGGTACTCAAAGCCTGGCTGATGCTGTTGAACGGACAGAACATAAGTACCCCTGAGGACTTTCTCTGTGCTTCAAAGTTTTCAATATTTATTCTTATTCGTTTGTTTTGAGACAAGATCTATCATGTGGCCCTGGCTGTCCTGGCGCTCACTATGTAGACCAGGCTGGCCTCACTCAGAGACTCGCCTGCCCCAAGTGCTAGGATTAATGGTGTGCACCACCATGTGACCAGAAATTTTCAGTATTTCGTGTGGTAGCACACACCTGTGATAATCCTAACTCTTGAAAGGTGGAGGAAGGAGGGTCAGGAGACCTCATCTTAAAAAAACCTCAAACTACTAAAATGGAGATTTAACAGCTGCAGCCTCTAGCAAGCTGCATATTCGGGATTCTTGGAATGAACCAGCTTGCTCAATACATGTGGATGAGTTTCTCCTCAGGTGAAAAGCCAGCACCACCTGGACTACTGTTCCAGGTTTTGAGGGTTCAAGTGGGGAGCCTGTCCGCGTGCTTTGGTCTTTAGCTGAGCAGAGGGAGAAGGCTGTGGCCTTTCAGGGTAATTTGAGGAAGCCATAAAGACCAGGTACAGTGGGTAAGATTTAGCAATCCTGTTTGAATCCCACACTTATCTCTTTGGCCTGCCCACATCTGAACCTGACCCTCCCCACTGCCCGCACAGCAGATTTGGTTTATTATGGAGGGAAACGGGCTACATGACTAAGCAGAACAGCCCCTGACCCCCCCCCCCCACCAGTCACCAAGTTAGGTGAAGTGAGGTCAGGGAGGGGGCAGACAGGTTGCCACACCAGGAAATCGGCACAGAAGTCACCCTTTGCCCTTCCTGTGGTAGCCTGGCTGTGAGGCTCAGGGCATAAGACAGGATAAAGAGCTGTCACACGTGACCAGACTGAGGGCACGTGAGGACAGGGACATTCACGGGCAGAAGCCATACCTAAGGCTCTGCAACAGGAGGGAGACAAGCCAGCACTGGCACCCAAGGACCCAGAGTGCTCAAGGGCCGCAGAGCAGTATCTGGGAAGGGGAGCGGGCCAGGGTCTAGTCTGGGGAGGAAGCACAAGTCCTAAGCTGGGGACAAGTGTATGAGACGCAGGTCAGCCATGGACACACCCAGCTCCAGGGCTGCCAGGGCCTGGTAGAACTGGTATATCTGGGACTCAGACAGGGGCAAGGCCAGACGTCTTCTTGGGGGCCCAGGCGAGGACTCTGGAGCTGGGCACTGGACCAAGAGTTGCAGTAATCGTCCTGACATCAGTCAGCCTTACACCAGTAGCCTGGGAGACAGGAGATTTGTGCTTTTCTTTACAGCAGTAGGAATTGTACTGTCCACAGCTTCCTACATGGAAGTGAATCTGAACACCCGAGGGGAGGGGACAGTTGTAATCCCTGTTAAAAGCTTCCCACAGCCACCAAACCTAACTTTCTTCAGCATTCATGCAGACCAGATTTTATCCTATGTACTCTCAGAAGAGGCTAAAAATAAAATATTCACTCACTTGTCTGCACACACACCCTCTTCCAAGATCCCAACAACCGTCACGAGGGAGAAGACCAAGCCACACTGTTCTGCCAGCAGCCCTTTCCATGGACTTTCTGTGGTAGACCGTGATAACCACACGAGGGGATGAACTGCTGACGGTGCACTTTTCTGACCAGAAATGAAGCCCATGGAAGGGTCTTCCAAGAGGCACCAGCAGTGGCGGGTACGAATATCAGCAACTGGAGCTTGGTACACAGACCCAGGGCCCTGGGCCTACCCTTCCCAGTTCAGTTCCCCTTCCTCCCAGGCCTCGGCCCTTACCTTTGCCCACTGCAAAGCCCACCACGGTCAGCACACCATGGTTAGCACACAGGCCTTCATTGTGGGATTCTGAGCAAGAGGAACAGCTCCTGTGGAATACGTCAAACCCCACCTTCCTGGGATCACACCCCTTAATCCTCAGAGGCAGAACAGTTTTGACAGGTAGTCTGAGCAGAAACTGCTGTGTTCCCACCTGGAAGAAGTTACCAGTTGGCAGGAAGGCGTGTCCTCACCCACAAGGCCTGGTTCCCATGTGGGCAACAGCTGAGCTCGGGCTGGATCTTTATCAGGTGTCTTCATCCTACACATGCCCTGGAAGACTTGTACCCCCACTTCCAGGGCCACGGCTTGGCGTCCGTCTGGGCCCTACCTGCTGTCCACCTACACAACAGGCTTGCTTCCTATTATGTTGGGGGAGGATGGCCAGAGACGCGCCCCCATCCTTCCCAGATGGACACACAGATAGCAGATCAACAGTTGTGGCTGTCTGCCTTCCCTGCAGTTCTATTTACTTTAGGGTTACATTTCCTTTAGTAGCAAACCTGAGAGTACTTCTTATGAAGCCCCTACAGTAGAAACACACACAGCCACAGAGCCCAGGTGTTTCTCTAGTCTCTGAAGTCTTTTCTTTCCAATCCTGTACTTGCCCCTACCCAACCCCGAATGCAGCTCTGGTATATTTAACTACTAACATTACCAAATCCAAGAAGCTGTGCTGTTTCCAAGCCACGGGCAATGGCCTAAGCTATGAGGATCCCTGGAGTCCCGCACACCACCACCTTCCCTTCCTCAGCCCTCCCCAGCAACAAGAACCAGCAGACAGCTCACGGCCTTTTCTTTTTTATTTCATGTTCCCACCACAATAACTATTCCTTTAATTTAAACTAAAAACCATAGACTTCCTGAAAGGGTGGAAGCAAAGGAATGGTGGTGTTAAAGATAGAGGGATGGGTGGGCGAGGAGTCAGCGAATCGTCTTGACTGGGCTCTTGAAGTTGCTGGCGGCTTGGAGCTGCAGCTGGTAAGCCATTGGATGAATCTTGAAACCGTAGAGCCTGGGCCGGGCAGAGGTCAGAGAGGCAGTAGGGTGAGCTACCTTCTGGCCCTCCAGTGGCTGGCAGCCCACCACTACCCCAGCCTCCTCCTCATGCCTACTCAATAGTTCGACAACTTCCTTGCTCATGAATACTTGATTTTTTTCCCTCATGAGTACTTGAAAATGCACACACACCCCTTTTGAGTTAGGGTTTCTCTGTGTAACAGCCCTAGCTGCCCTGGAACTTAACTCTGTAGACCAGGCTGGCCTCAAATAGTCTCTGCATCCCAAGTACCAGGATGTGCCACCATGCCCAGGTTAAAAATGTATCTTTTTTGGTTTATGTATATGAGTGCTCTGCCTGCATGTTCCTCGAGGGCATCAGATCTCATTACAGATGGTTGTGAGCCACCATGTGGTTGTTGGGAGTTGAACTCAGGGCCCCTGAAGAGCAGCCAGTGCTCTCAACCGCTGAGCCATCTCTCCAGCCCTCTTAAAAATGTATCTTAAACATCCACTAAAATTCAAATTCCAGTCCAGGCAGTGGTGGTGCAGATCTGTAGTCTCATTTATGGCAGAGGCAGAAGGATCCCTTGAGGCCAACTCAACCAACAAAGACCTTGTCAAACACTCCCCATCCTCACTCACTCACTCACTCACTCACTCACTCACTCACTCACTCACTCACACACACATACACACACACCCCACCCAAACCAACCAAACAAAAATCCACACTGACAGTATAGCTCAAACAGAGTTTGTGCTTAGCAGGTAGGAGGCCCTGGGTTAAACCCCCATCCCACACAGGAAATTCCAAATCTGAGGAGCTATGGAATCTTTCTTCCCTGGTACACAGCAAAAATAAGATAGGGACGATAAGCCATACTGAACCACAAAAACTGAGGATTTTGGCAAAAAGTTGAGCATCTAACATGTCAGCAGCAGTAGCCACTGTTCAAGTAGCAGCTCTCATCTGCAACCCTGCTCTACGCGTAAGAAAACAGAGGCATGAGCCTCAGGTGGATCCCCAGTCACTCAGCAGGAAAAAGCCCAGACTTTGGGATAGGCAGGCCTTAAGAAAGGGCTGTTTGTCCTCAATTCTCCCAAGGTCTCGTATCGTTCTCTGACTCTCTGTGACTGTCTTTCAATTCTCCCAAGATCTTGGACCATTCTCTGACTCTCTGTGACTGTCTTTCAATTCTCCCAAGATCTCGGATCGTTCTCTGACTCTCTGTGGCTGTCTTTGCTCCCCACCTGGGTACAAACTGGTTGGCAGGTCGTTTGGGCCGGTACTCTGGATGCACCATGAAGAGCATGTGAGGGAAACCAGTGCCGAAGTAGGCGCCGTCCGTGTGGTGGTGCCTTGATGATTTGGGTGTGTACACGTCCATGCACTTGGGGCAGTAGAGCTTCACCATGGCCTCGCCTGGGATGTCCGAAAGGCCTGGGACACAGCCAGACCCTGAAGACCAGGTACCCCAAGTCCTCCCACCCTCCCACAGGGCTCAGGCACTGACCACATCAACCTGACTGGCAAGTAGTGCCCTCCTCTCCCCTCTCCAACACTCACCGATGGGAAGCATTGGCTGGTTCTCACAGTACACACGAGGACAGTAGCCAAAGTCTCCCTGCTGGTACTTTTCCAACTGAGGTGTGCAAAATGGAAGGGACTGGTGAGTACGTGTGCAGAGCACCTCACTTCCCCACCTCCCAGGCCTCCCACCTCTAACTAGAAGCCCTTCTTTGTCAAGACAGGTCCTCAAGCTTCCTTCTCAACTGCTTTCCTCAAGTTGGCAGGCTGCAGAACACAAGGGCCATTTGCTCTCTCTGTTCCCTATCCATGGCCTCATCTCCCTCCCTGAAAACAATACCTTCAGTAGGACCCTCAGTGAGGATTGGATTCTCAGCCCAGCTCTGGGCTTCTCCTCGTCTCCTCTGCTAGACTTCTTGACAGGTACGAAACATGCCTTCTGCCTCATGCACCTGTTTGTCTCACTGCCTCAGAAGCAGGAGCAGAGCCTCACCATTTGGGCGATGCCTCGGTTGGTGAGGATGTATCGGGCGTGGATCAACCCATAAAGCATCTCCGCTGCCTGTTCAATCAGGTCACTCTGGTTGGGGTTGTCTTCCAGCTCTTCATCTGAAAGGTGGGATGGCCACTTGTACCCCACCTTATCCCCAAGGTGGCCTCCTACAGTTTATCCAGCACCTGTTTCTGACACACCCTATCCATCACCCAGGCCATCAGCACTGCCCTCTCTCCACACCTCTCTAGTCTCTGCCAGCTTCTTCCCCTTCCCAACACATAAACATAATTGCAGAGGGTGGCACTCTAGACCAGCAGGAGGAAAGCAGCAGCACACAACACACCAGAAGACTGGCATTGTGAGAGACAGTGGAGTTACATTTGGAGAGCATGGAAACAAATGTTACCAGTCCCTGAAGGCAAGGGTCAGGTAGGGAATCAAAATAATGAAGAAGCCAGGCAGTGGTGTATGTGCCATACAAAACCCAGCACGTGGAGGCCAAGGCAGGAAGAGCAAGTGGTAAAGTCCAGTTTGGGTTATGAATGGAGAGGAGAGGTGGGGGAGAAAACACATAAACAAACAAACAAGCGAGCAAGAGACTCGGGAATAGACAGAAGAGCTAGAGAATCAAAAGGAAATTTAGAAATTCAAGAAGCGGTTGGGCAGTGGTGGCACATGCATTTAACACCAGCACTCGGGAGGTAGAGGCAGGTGAATCTCTGTGAGTTCAAGGCCAGAGAAACCCTTCTGGAAAAACCGAAAAAGAAAAGAGAAAAATTCAAGAAGCAAGCGAGCAGAGACCAGAATAAGAAGAAACCAAAGCACACACAAGTGCACATATCATGGACCCCACACGCAGCGACGGCCCTGGGGGCAGGCACGTTACCAGGCTCCAGGTCCAAGATCATGTCTAGAGCTTGCCGGTAGTGAGGCACTTGCTCATTGAGTCCAGTCAGATTAAACTTGTCCTGGATGTAGTCCTCATCCACCTACCGGGACAGGGGAGTCAAGAGGTTGAAACTAGTGTGGGAAGCCCCGTCTTTCACCTGGCCCAGGAGACAAACGACCGCATCGGCTCCCCTTGTTTCCTATTCTCACTTCTGCAGAGGTGTTCCGTCTCCCACAGAAACCGCAGCTCTCTTCTTTCCGGGCCAACAAGGTACAGCGCATTATTCAACTTGTCTCCCTCCTCTAAAGGACCCGGGTTTGCTCTCTGCTCTGGGACATCAGACTCTCACAGGCATTGATCATTTCCTACGTTACCACACTGTGGTTTTCATGTTACATGAAACATTTTAACTTTCCTGACGGTCACCAGCGATACCTCTGTTAGCCATGCACAGAGTGAACCCCAGCGCTCAGGAGACTGAGGCACTAGGATTGCCAGGAGTTCAAGGACAGTCTGGGCTACACAGTCAGCTTCGGGGGAAATCTCATCTCAGACAACATACAACGAAAACACCGAGGGCACGTGGAGAGGGCCCAGAAAGCCAGCTAAACTCACCTCACAGAAGAACTCATTACCACGGAGCCCACAGAACCAGGAAATCCAGGAAACCTCCTCAGAGCTACTCATCTTTACGTCGGCTGAGGAAGAAGGGCGTTAAGTGGAGACCAGGCTGTTTCTTGGTCTCTTCCCTCCTCCCACACACACGGTCTCCTCAACGGCGGAGGAATCCGAGGCCACTGGCGTTGAGTGGCCCCGGCCCGTGAAGCACCGCTCTCCACGCCTCTCTTCTTTACCTCAGCCCCCCGACAGCGTGGTGAGAACCAGCTCCACTCCTTCCCAGGGGGTGACAGGTCCCGATCTGTGGGTGTTGCCCTGGGGGAGGCCAGGCCCCGGCCCCCCGGCCCCCCGGCCCCCGGCCC